TATCAAGGATAGAAATATGTCTCAGTAAATTTAAAAGAACTAAAATCCTATCAAGTATGTTCTCTTACCACAGTAGAATTAAGTTAGAAATCAATATCATAAAGAAATGTAGGAAATGTGAAAATATTTGGAAATAACATATTTCAAAATAAACCAAAGAGCAAAGAAGAAACCACACACACATAAAAATTAGACAATATCTTGAAATTAATGGAAACAAATAACATCAAAATTCAATAAATGCAGCAAAATCAGTATGTAGAAAGAAATTTTAGCTTTAAATGCTTATAAAAGTAGATATATCTAAGACCAATCATCTAAACTTGTATTCAATAAACTAGGAAAGGAAGAACAAAGCATGCACTAAGCAGGTAGAAGAAAGAATAATAAAGATTAGAATAAAAATCAGTAAAATTGAAAATATGAAAACAGAGAAATATCACTGAAATTAAAAAGTGATTCTTCAAGGGGTCTCGGTGGCTCAATCAGTTAAGCATCTGCCTCCGGCTCAGGTCATGATCCCAGGGTCCTGGGATGGAGCCCTGTGTCAGTCTCTGCTCAGCATAGAATCTGCTTCTCCTTCTCCCTTTGCCTACTCCCCTCCACTCATGTTCTCTTACTGTCTCACACTCACTCAAACAAATAAATAAAATCTTAAAAAAAAAGTTAAACACATACATTGCATACAATCCAGCTTATATCCATATATTCATAGCAATTAGCCAAAAACTAGAAATAATCCAAATGTCCATCCAAACGCCCATAAAATAGAAATAATACTAAATGCAGAGAAGATTCTAGGAGAACTGCCTTTATGAACTATCAAATCTCTGACATATGAACATGATGTGTCATTTCATTTTTTTAGCTGATCTTTAATTTCACTCAGTAATGTTTTAGAGTTTTGGAAAGGGAAAAAAGTTTCATATGATAGAGTACCAATTTGTCAATAAAGAAGAATGAACCAGTAAAACGTAGAATAACATGGATAGACCTCAAAAGTGGTGAAAGAAGCCAGACACAAAAGACTACATATTAATCTATCTACATGAAATTTCTAGAAAAGGCAAAGAAAGAGAGAAAATAGACCAGTGGTTACTAGGGACTGGAAGTGGGCATAAGGAATGACTACAGATAAGCAGCAGGAAACTTTTCAGATAATGGCAGTATCATAAATTGAATAGTGATGATGGTTCACAACTGTATATATTTTCTAGAAATCATTTAACTACAGTTATAATGGTCAATTTTATGATATGTAAATTGTACCTCACTAAATCTATTAATGTAAGGGAAGAAGAGAAGAATGACTCTGCCTTTCCTACAAGAATTGTGTTTTGGGGTAACCAAATTGCTAATAAAGAAAATTTTTTATAGAGGAACTCTACTAATACATATAGAAAGTGACAATATTAGAAAATCCACACTTTATAATCCCTAATGAAAAAATGGATCTCAAAGGGTGCTAAAGCTACTCGGTGGAAAGACTGATGAGGAACTTTGCAATGGAGGAGTCAGGCTGGTGTTACCTGGAGCCGAATCATCAATCTTAATATTACCAAACTTAACACAATCAGACTCATGCCATTTGATATTTTACAACAAGTACACAGCATCAACTGTGAAGGATTCTTGCCCAAAAATAAATAAATAAAAAAACCTGAATCCAATCAAATCTCTAGATCTAATTAACAGTTTATATAATACAGTAATAAACAAGCTAAACCACCTTTTTTTTTTTTAACCACCCTTTAAGGAAGCAATCAGTCAAATCCAAGTTGTAGGATATTTTTTTGAATATTTTATTTATTTATTTGATAGAGAGACATTAGAAAGCGGGAGAGGGATAGGAGAAGCAGATTTCCTGCAGAGCAGGGGACCCAAGACCAGGCTCGATCCCATGACCCTGAGATCATGACCTGGGCTGAAGGCAGATGCTTTACCAACTAAGCCCTCAGGTGCCCCTGTAGAATATTCTAAAGGACTTGGGTTTTCTAGCAAATTCACAGCATTAAAGGGGGTGCCTGTCTGTCTCAGTCAGTGGAGCATGTGACTTCTTGATCTTGAGGTTGGAGGTTCAAGCCTCATATTGGGGTGGAGATTACTTAAAAATAAAAACTTAAAAAAAGAAAGGGAAACTACTACAGAAAAAAAGAAGTTTAAGAGCTAAACAGCAATACACAAAGTGTGAACCACACCTTGATTGGATTCTGATTTTAGCAAACCAACCATAAAAAGACATTTTGGTGACAACTAGGGAAATCTTCATAATGATTACATATTTGATGTTATTAAGAAATTATTAATTTTGGGAGTGCCTGGATGGTGCTGTCAGTTAAACATCCGACTCTTGTTTTCAATTCAGGTCATGGACTCAGGGTTCTGAGATTGAGCCCTGTTTTAGGCTCCCTGCACAGCATGGAGTCCACTTGAGATTCTCTCTTTCTCTCTCACTCTGCCCCTTTCACTTGTACTCTCTCTCTCTTTTTTAAAGATTTTATTTATTTATTCATGAGACACACAGAGAGAGGCAGAGACATAGGCAGAGGGAAAAGCAGGCTCCACATAGGGGGCCTGATGTGGGACTCGATCCTGAGACTCCAGGATCACGACCTGAGCTGAAAGCAGACACTCAACCGCTGAGCCACCCAAGCGTCCCTCTCTCTCTCAAATAAATATTTTTTAAAAAATTAATTTTATTGTATGATATCAGCATAGTGGTTGTGTGTCTATGCGTGTGTGTGTGTGTGTGTGTGTGTGTATCTCAGTCTTTATCAGTCAGAGATCATGCCAGAGTATTTGTGGTAAAATAATGTAAATTATTTGCTTTTAAAGAGTCCCACAATTACTTAAAGATTGATAATATGGGTGATCCCTGGGTGGCTCAGCGGTTTAGCGCCTGCCTTTGGCCCAGGGTGTGATCCTGGAGTCCTGGGATCGAATCCCACATCAGGCTCCCTGCATGGAGCCTGCTTCTCCCTCTGTGCCTGTGTCTCTGCCTCTCTCTCTCTCTCTCTCTCTCTCTCTCTCTCTCTCTGTGTGTGTGTGTGTGTGTGTCTCATGAATAAATAAGTAAAATCCAGAAAAATAGAAAAGATTGATATGTTGAAAATTGTTGAAGCTAGACAATATATATGTTGGGCTTCATTGCCCCATCCTCTCCACTCTTAGTATGTTCTTAATTTTTCATATTAATAAGGTTAGTGGACAGGGAAAGACTGCAAAACTAAAAGAAAAAGAAAAGTAAAAGAAAAAGGGGGCTGCAGCTCACAAGAGAGATTAGAAATAAAGGCTGATGTAGAAGTCATCAGAAGATAGGGAACACATGAGCCAAATACTTGGAGAGTAGAATATAAGAAGAAAGTAGAAAATAAATACATAAAAAGAGACCAGAGAAGTAAAGCCAGTGGAATAGTAATAAATAAAGACAGAATAGAAAAAGATGAGTTTGAGAAAGGTACCAAAAAGAAGAGACCTAAAAGAAAAATTGAATCAGAATCAATTAAGGCAAGAAAGTTTCCAAATAATAACTACTAAGTACTCTTCTTACAGCCCCCAAATTTCAATCAAATAGAATAAAGGGGCACCTGGGTGGTTTAGTTGGTTAAACATTCAACTCTTGGTTTCAGGTCAGGTCCTAATCTCATGGTTGGTGAGAATGAGCCCCATGTGGGGCTCCACGTTCAGCAGGAGTCTGCTTGGATATTCTCTCCCTCTGCCCCTTCCCCCACTTGCATGTTCTCTCGCTCTCTCTCTCTCAAATAAATAAATAAATCTTTTTTTAAAAAATACACAGAAAAAAAAAGAATTATGTTTCTAACAAAAGAATTTCAGAATGATGAAATAATTATCTCATTCAGCTGAGATAAACAATATCTAGATATTAGATATTTAGATATTAGAATTCATATCTTCTAAAATACACAACACAATCTCCCAGATCTTGAAGATGTTGAAGGAATATTAAAAAGGCATTTACAAAAAAATAAATAAATAAAAATAAAAAGGCATTTACCCACTGGCACCAAATTGCCACCTAGCTAATCTGCCACAGTGAAAGATAGGATACCAAGTGCTAGAACAACTATAAAAAAATAAAATAAAATAAAGAAGATATTGACACTGGCCATTAAAGAGTTCTCTGGAGAAAAATCATTAAACTGTAAGATTCATGAAGATTAGATAGTAAGCTGGCCCAATTTCTCCCCATATGCTCATATTCCAGCATGGTGCCAGGTTCCATGTTTCTACAATAATGGAGCCCCAGTGGGGTACTGGGGGCAGGTAGCACTGATGATGCCCAATATTGTTGGTGTTTTGAGCCACAGTTTTAAATGTTAAAGCAAACTGTGATCTCAGATCCCTCTCTAATTACAAGGATAAATAACAGAGTTTTTCATTTCATACTCGAAGCTTTAATAACTTATTCCCACGTATGTATATACCTCTGCATTGTTGCTCTCAAAAGTAGTTGTACCTCTTTATACTTAATTTCTAGTACTTTGAGGAATTTATTATCCACAGCCTTGAAAATGTCACTTCAAATAATTTATTAACATATTTAGATGCAATACAAAATGTAAATCATATATATTTTAAGCTATCATCCCTTAAATCTTCTATTATTTACTCTATTAATTTTCAATACACTGAGGTTAAAGACATTTGCTTCTTTGCAAGGCAAAGCCCCACCTAACATGAATCTCTATCTTTACATCAAAAACAATTCATATCATCTAAATCAATATAAGGTTCAAATAAGTCTTTTTGATTTCCACAGACCCAACACAGAAAAAGGAAAAACTCCCAGCCTCTGCAGCACATGTATATTTTATTATTTCCAGGTATATTCTGAAAAATGTTTTTAAAAATGTTTAAAAGGTCTCCAATTGAGATCTTTAAAATTCTTAGCAAACTTTTTTAAAATTTTACCTAACTCAAGATTAATAAGCATAATTCTAAAATGTCCTAGAATCAGGAATGTAAAGTTAAAAACTTACATTCAAGCTGTGCAACCACATCTCCAGGGTCTACTGCTTCAGGGAACACCTATAGTGGGAGAATGTAGATGGAAGCAGTGTGGGAAAGAAGAAATGAAAGGAACAGACACATAAAAAGTCTTTGTTTTTCCTCTCATTCCCATAATATTCCTTTCCCACCCAAAGAAATTTCTGACATTATTGAGGACTGTCACTTCATCTCTGTTTCCCATGATCACTATGGAGGGTCTGACAATTAAACACCCATTACAGCTGACTATGGCTCCCTCTCCAACGTTACCAGTGCTTCATCTTCATCTCCAGTTCCTCCTGCTGTTTGTTTCCGTGGTCGTACTGGCCTTCTTGGTGCGCCTCCAACTCATCAAGCTTATTCCCACCAAGAAGCCTTTCTATTTGCTATTCCTTGGCTTAGAATGCTTTTCCTGGGCAGCCCGGGTGGCTCAGCAGTTTAGCGCTGCCTTTGGCCCAGGTTGTGATCCTGGAGACCCTGGATCGAGTCCCATGTCAGGCTCCCTGCATAGAGCCTGCTTCTCTCTCTGCCTGTGTCTCTGCCTCTCTCTCTCTCTGGGTCTGTGTCTCTCATTCATGAATAAATAAATAAAGTGTTAAAAAAAAATTCTAAAAAAAAAAAAAAAAGAATGCTTTTCCTCCAGACCTTCGAATAACTGATAACTGTCTCATAATTCAGGCTCAGCTTAAATGTTACTGCCATCTCTGAACACCCTTTAAAATAGTCACTCAGACCCTCTCCATGCCCTTGTCCTCCCTTTATTCTTTTCATGGCATTTATCACTACCTAAAATTATATTATTCTCATGTTTACTTGATTAGTGTCTGTTTCTCCCATTACAGTGAAAGCTCCAAGAAAGGAGGCTATTTGTCTTGTTTACCCAGTGCCTCAAACAGTGCATGGAACAGGGCAGGACATGGGTAATTACTTGCAGAAAAAAAGGGGAAGGAAGGAAGGAAGGAAGGAAGGAAGGAAGGAAGGAAGGAAGGAAGGAAGGAAGGAAGGAAGGAAGGAAGGAAGGAAAGGAGGGAGGGAGGGAGGAATGGGAGGTTAGGGAAGGAAGGAGAGAAGTAGAGAAGGAAAGAATGAAACAAAAAAAGTGAAGAATATGACTGGTAATAAACTAAAAGCAATAGTTTTAGGGGAAAAATAGAAAAGAAACTCAAGAAAGAAGTACACGAGATAGCCATAAATAAAAATATAAAACCTATTTTTACCTATTAATATCTCCTCTTTTTTTATATAAAAATTATTTAATACTCAAAATGCTCTATCTTACATAAAGCCCACTAACAAAATTTGGAAATAGACTGATCCATCATGAAAAAGAGGCAACTGATTCACTGCATAATAGAATGCATATTTATTTTCAAGCTTCCAAGTTTAAGTTACAAATCTCCTTCTGAATGAAATCAAAGTATACAGTCCGCAACAATAATTTGTGTTCTGGGCTTTTATTAAAAATTGGAAGTATTCTGATTATTTGTTAATATTTGATCTGATATTTGAACTCACCTTTTCAAACACCATTCTGGCATTGAAGACCAGTGGAAAATTGGCTGGGACACATTGTGTCTTTTTGTATTGGCCAAACACACAGATGCTAAGATAGATGTCCTCCTTGTCTTTCAGCACCACTCCTGGACAAGTTACCTGAATGAAATTAGATAGAGAGATGTAACTGCTTTATGAATTCCCTGAACTGTCCTACTAAAATAATTTACAAGGCATTACATTAAAACACTAGTCTGCTAAGCTAATAAAAATACGCACAAATTAAAAAAAAGGAGAGAGAGAGACTCGAGTGTTTACAGAGTTAAATGAAATGCCTTTATAACTTCCATTCCTCTGAGAAATCTATGATTCTCCATTTGGTTATTTGTGCCACATTTGAAGCTCTGTGTACTGGCTCTTGGGACAGACACTAACAGTTTTAAAGTCAGCCTTAGGCACCCACTTTACGCTGAATGCTGACATAAACTTATTCAGCATCATTTAATCACAAAGGATTAAGACTCAGCAGAAACAAAGCACTATCCTAAAAGACACAAAAAAATAGTGATAGAAAGTACCACCCTAAACAGCAGCCCATGCACACTCTCATCAAAAGCAATATGACAAACTTCCAAAGCTAGTGAACTGTAAGTTTCTACCCCAGTGAAATATTTTTAAAATATGAAATTGTACTTATTTAGCCACATGATTGACAGAAAGTATAGACACAAAATATGGCATTTCTAAAAACTACATGGCACAGTCTCCTCAGGCTCTGCCCACATTTCATTGTCAGTAATCAACCACACCCTTACATGGATTTTAAAGGCTAAGATTTCATTCCAATATACTCATATTGTAGTATCACTCAACACCTCCCCAATAAGTATATTTGTATTGTCCTCTGACCACACACATTACATTCTTCCATTATTAGGATGACTACTCCTTACCATTCCATTTCATCTCCTCCTCATTTATAATTATCACCTCTCAAGGCTTACATCAATCAGCTACATCTCCTACAAAAAAAACCTGTCTTGACTCACCAGATATCATTATTCATTCTAACTCAAACATTTATTATGAATTTACTACATTCAAGTAAAAACGTTTTAAATTCTCATAACATTTTGTAGTTCTCTTAAGGCCTAATTATTGTCTCCATGCATTTTAATTAAGTGGGTACATCTCACCTCTTTTAGTTGTAATTCCCTAAGGACAGAAATTTTATTCTCATCAGTGTATCCAAAGCCACAGACTTTCAGTGTTAAAAAGAAGCTTAGAGATTATCAAGTACAGCTTCATATTTTTTATATATGACAACAATAGAGCCCCAAGAAATATAGGTGATCTACTTACTTAAAGCGACACAGTAAAAGAATCAATACAATACATTCAAAAGTGCTTAGAAAAGTGCCTAACAGAGCATTCCACCAATATTAGCTATAGTTATTGTTAGGCTGAAAATCATTATAATTTGTCATATCAACACAAATTATTGCACTGAATAAATGACTAAGACTTCATGTCTCTTTGTACATAGCAGTTAAGATTATTTTCTGTGCCAGATATTTTTATTTCCTCTCCCCCAAATCAATTTTCCACTCTGTCCTAATATATTCCCCACTGATTATTAAAATCTATTAAAATCAAGGTCTTCAGCAAATCTCATGCTGTCCATCACCTTCATTTCCTACTCTGCCTCATTAAAATCAAATCTGTTAGAATCCCTCTAACTCCATATTACCCAATGTGGTAGGTGCTAGCCACTTATGCTTACAGTTGCGGCTAGTCCAAATTTGAGATGGACAATGAGTGTAAAATACAAGATTTTGAAGATTTTGAGAACTTGTTCAAAAAGATTTTGAAGACTCATTACAAAATCAGCATAAAATATCTCATTAATAACTAACACTTTGAATATATTGACTTAAGTAAAATTATTATTAAAACTAATTTATTTATATATTTTCACTTTTTTAATGTAGCTGGTAAAAAATTTACAATTACATCCTTGGTTCAAACTTGTTACTCATATTCTATTTCTACTGAGTTGTGCAGCTACTCTAATTGAGAGTACTCGATTGGAAACTACTGACTCTCTTTCCAATGTGCAATATATGCAAAAGGGCAACTGGGTGGCTCAGTGGTTGAGCATCTGCCTTTGGCTCAGGTTGTGATCCTGGGATCCTGGGATCAAGTCCCACATCAGGCTCCCAGCAGGGAGCCTGCTTCTCCCTCTGCCTCTCTCTCTGTGTCTCTCATGAATAAATAAATAAAATCTTTGAAATATACATACACACACGCACACATATGCAAGAAAGCATGAGTTTTTCTCACCCACATTTCTACAAATTCTGCCATGCTTTAAAAGAACACCCAGTAGGGGATCCCTGGGTGGCGCAGCGGTTTGGCGCCTGCCTTTGGCCCTGGGCGCGATCCAGGAGACCCGGGATCGAATCCCACGTCGGGCTCCCGGTGCATGGAGCCTGCTTCTCCCTCTGCCTATGTCTCTGCCTCTCTGTGTGTGTGTGTGTGTGTGTGTGTGTGTGTGTGTGTGTGTGTGACTATCATAAATAAATAAAAATTAAAAAAAGAAAGATCCTAACGCCAGGGAAGACACGACGATAAGCACCGTTTGGGATCCCTGGGTGGCGCAGCAGTTTAGCGCTTGCCTTTGGCCCAGGGCGCGATCCTGGAGACCTGGGATCGAGTCCCACGTCGGCTCTCAGTGCATGGAGCCTGCTTCTCCCTCTGCCTGCGTCTCTGCCTTTCTCTGTGTGTGTCTCTCATGAATAAATAAATAAATAATCTTAAAAAAATTTAAAAAAAAAAAAGAACACCCAGTAGCTTTCCAAAAAGAAAGTAAGAAAGGGAGGGTGGGTAAAGAAAATCAGATTGAACAAACAGAAAATAAAGAGCAAAGCAGTTGACTTAAACAACCATATGGATAATTACATGAATGCAAATACTCTAAGCATTCTAATTAAATGGAAGAGATTGTCAGATTGGATAAAAAAAAAAAAGCAAGAACAATATGCTGTATGCAAAAAAAAAAATCACTTTAAAGATAAAGATGCACATGGCAAAGTACTTTCAGAATGGTGGACCAAATACCTCCAAAAATCAGCCCCTCTATAAAAGCAAAAGAGAATATTACCAACAACTGGTGAAATCAACTTTTTACAGCTATAGAAAATAACCAGAGATTTGCAACAATCTGAAGAGCATTTATTTGAAAAAAAATAGCTGACTTGCAGTTACAACAGTGATACTGTGGTATGCTAACATATTCTACTCCCAATCTCCTCTACTCAGGTCTTCTTTAGCCTTGAAATACAAAATCCTTAGAATTATACTAGCCATGAAAACCAGCAGTCACACAGACACTGGAGTGTTCAGAACAGGTTTAATTAACGCTCCCCAAAAAGCCTCATCCCCGTGGAACTGTCAATATTTTATCTGTCTGACAGTTCCCTGGAAACCCTCATTCACAGGGATTCTCTTTATTTGATCTGAATTGGAGTTCACTCATACAACAGCCTTTCTCCCGAAGGCAATTGTCAAAAACAATCAGTACCAATTGTTTAACACAACAGATGCCCGAGGCAGTGATCACAATGAGGCAAACCATAACCTGATCAAAATGCAAAGCTGGAAATGCATGTATATGAGTGTATGGGGGGGGAGGTGCTGTCCTGAGAAGCTATATAACATAATTTTGGCAGCTTAGAAGATCATGCACATGTTTAAGGTTGTGCATGTGCCCAGAAATGACCTGATGAAACCCTAATCTTTCTGGCTGACCCTGAGGCTTTGAAACAGTTGGAAGTGAAGGCTAAGACAGAGTTGTAAACTACCTGCAGAGCACAGAAAATATGCCTCAACAATTATACAAAGATCCTCAGCAAAGACAGGGAGACTTATTGGTTCAAGACATTTAAGTATATATAAATCCAGTCATTAGCAAGCCATGAAGCTAACCAAGCAGACTTTGGTGGCCACCCTTGACAAAGAATACAGACGTTAACTCAGGAAAGTAACTAAACAAATAGAAAGCAATAGCAAACAACAAACCCTGAGAAAGAGGGAGAGTCTGATTTACAGAGTTCCATATTATACTATTTAAAATGTTCAATTTTCTGGGGATCCCTGGGTGGCACAGCGATTTGGCGCCTGCCTTTGGCCCAGGGCGCGATCCTGGAGACCCGGGATCGAATCCCACGTCGGGCTCCCGGTGCATGGAGCCTGCTTCTCCCTCTGCCTGTGTATCTGCGCCTCTCTCTCTCTCTGTGTGTGACTATCATAAATGAAGAAAAAATTTAAAATAAAATAAAATAAAATAAAATAAAATGTTCAATTTTCAACAACAACAAAAAAAATTACATGCAAAGAAACAAGAGTATCACCCATACACAGGGGAAAAGGCAGTCAACAGAAACTGTCTCTGAGGAAGCCCAGTCTCCTAAACAGAGACTTTAAATCACCTATTATAAATATGTAAAAAGAACTAAAGGAAACCTTGTCTAAAAATCTAAAGCAAAAAATAAAAATAAAAAATAAATAAAAATCTCAAGTAAAGTATGGCAACATGGCAATAATGTTTCATCAAAGAAGGAATATCAAAAATAAGTAGAAATTATTTTTTAAAGAACAAAGTAGAAATTCTAGAGTTGAAAAGCACATGACAGAAATGAAAAAAATTCACTAAAGAAGCTAGCAGAAGAAAGACTACGTGAACCTGAAAATATTATTCAACCTAAGGAACAGAAAGAAAAAAATAAAGAAAAATTAACAGGGACATCAGGGTGGCTCAGTGGTTGAGTATTTGCCTTCGGCTCAGGTGTGATCCCGGTGTCCCGAGATCAAGTCCCATATATCGTGCTCCCCATAGGGAGCCTGCTTCTCCCTCTGCCTGTATCTCTGCCTCTCTGTTTCTCATGAATAGATAAATAAAATCTTAAAAAAAAAAAAAGAAAAAAGAAGAATGAACAGAATCTCAGAGATCTGTGGAATACTATTAAGCACAACATAGAAACAATAGGAACCCCAGAATGAGAGGAGAAATGGCCAGAAAGAATATATGAAAAAATAATGGACAAAAACTTCCATAATTTAAAGAAAAGTAATCTATACATCCAACAAGCTCAGAGAAT